ATGACATTTGTTGATCAAGAAAGGCTGAAAAAGGAAAATGCTCATCTTCATCAATACCTGGACAAAATTGAGGAACAAAAACAATTTGCAACTACTGAAAAAAAAAATCCTGAGGCGAAAGAAAGACAGCAACGCCGAAAATTGCGTAAATTAAAAACAGCTGTGGAAAAATCACTATGGTTTGCTAAAACCATTGTTCTCAATCCCAGTTCAGCTTCTTTCACAGATGATAAGGCGGAAAGCTATAATGTTGATTACTCTTCAGAAAACACTCCTAAATCATTTAATGAATTACTTGAAGAGGAACAAGAAAAGGTGAAGAGTGTTCTATTCCTTCCTGATAAATTCTGTATCACCGATGCGGCATATCATGAGTTAACTCTGACAAGTGGGGGACAGGATCTTCCCAGAAGTTACCTCATAAAACAATGCAAAGAGAATCTCAACCTACTCTGTCACATCGGTCGCACTCCAGGCTAAGCAGATAGTGCCCAGTTAAACCTCGAAGAGGAATTGAAGAGCAGAATAGAAATGCAACAAGTAAAAACCTTTTTATTCAATCATCTTGAAAGGTTGTTTCCATAAGTTTGGGCACACAGTGACATTAATTTTTGGTTTTTCTTGTTTGTTTGTCTTTTCTTAGAGCAACAACCCTACCCTACAAGAACAAATACGTATTAAGTTCAGTGGGGATGGGGCGAAGATGACAACAATGACAAATTTTGTTGTCCTGTCATACTCTTTGTTGGACACAGAGGACATATTAGCATCAGAAGGTTTGCATTATTAACACCAATCTGTGCAAACTTATTTAATATGCATATTCATTTATTCTGTTGGTACTAATGTGTGCATGTGGAGCATGCAAGATAAATAAATCATACTTTTCACACAGAAAACCACACTGTTGCTGTTATCAAAGGGCATGAGAGCTACGATCTGCTAAAGACTTCCTGTAAGGATGTTTTTGTCTCTGTCAACAGGTTGATTGATGATGGCAAGATAAGTATTGATGGAAAGGACATTCAAGTGGAGATGGCTGTTGGCGGGTGACTACAAGGTATATCATGTAATAATTCAAAATTATAATTTTGGCCAAGTTATGGGAGGTGGGCACATTTTAAAAAAATGCTACAAGTAAATTCACTGTTACGGCAAAAGTGGTCCTAAAGTCGTTAGAAATATGTCTGAATGAGATATGAAAACTATTCCAGTGTTGATAGTGGTTTTCGTATTTTCCAGTTTCTGTTGCTGGTCTTAGGCATGAAGGGTGCTACATCTGATTTTGCATGCATTTGGTGCACATGCCACAAGAAACACAGGTATGATTACTGCTTTGAGCATTTCATCCAACAAGCAACATTCACATGTAACGGTAAATTTAACAATAAGAGAAGAAAGTAACTTTGATTTCATTTATTATTTTATTTTTTACCATGGAGACATGACATGTCAAAGCCAATGAGGCACTACTGGGGAAAACCTATTGCAAGGGACATCAGCAGTTTTGCAGAATGGTCAAGGCAGAACAAGTTTGCTTGTGCCCATCCACCTTTCAATATTGCATAAAAACATGTGAAAATGCTGTGAAAAACCTGTGAACTGTTCAATTTCACATGTTTTTCACACCTTTTTCACAGGGTGTGAAACTGTTGAGACCCTGTGAACAGGGCATTTTTCACAAGGACAGAACCCATGCAAAACCCTGTGAGTTTTTCCCCTCTGAAAAAACCTGTGAAAGGCCCTGTGAAAAACTTCTTAAAAACCTGTGAACTTTCAGTGTTTTTCACATGGTAGAAAATGTCAAAACCTGTGAACAGGGCATTTTTCACAGGGTCAGAACCCATGCAAAACCCTGTGAAAAACCCTGTGAGTTTTTACCCTGTGAAAAAACCTGTGAAAGACCCTGTGAAAACCCTGTGAACTTTCACAGTGTTTTTCACAGGGTAGACAATGTCAAAACTTGTGAACAGGGCATTTTTCACAGGGACAGAACCTGTGAAAAACCCTCTGAAATGGGAGTTTACCTGGTGCTCGGATATATGCAGGCCATTTTGTTCAATTCAGAACCTTAATACATAATTAATTAATTAATTACTTGCAAAAAAATTTGGCTGTAAATTAAAGTTCACAGCTTTTGTGGTACTCTAATTATTATAATGAGATATCACAAGCATCTGTTTAAAGGTCTTTATGAGAAAAAAATAGAGATCTGCTGGCAGAATATAATATATAATGCTGCAGGGCATTGATATTTTTGACAGCATTGAAAATATCCCTGTACATGTATAATATTATTATAGTTTATACTTTCATGTACGAGTTGAAATTTGCCAGAACAATTTCAGATGAGTACTGCAGTGTACATCGACAAATGAAAAACAAACACACATTAATGAAAAGATATGCATGCTACAACACTCATTTCAACCTTACTTACTTTTGGATGGTGTAATTCCATCCATGCCTAGCTGACACGGGAAGATGCTGTTGGTTTCAATTTTCTTCACAATCCAGGTACCATGCAGTCATAATTTCATTATCTTGAATTAATTACATGCCCAGTCATTGACACAATTATATATACTCACCTTATAATCAGATTAGCAGGTCTGATCTGAGGTCATCATCATCATGTGTAAAAATTACCACGACAATACTGCAGCTTGCATGTACTTCATAAAATTCGAAGTTTTAATAATTAATCTCCCTTTCAAAAAAAACTCTAGCATTGCTGTTTAGAGCTGTACGTGAACATTGATATTTACTGAATAATTATCTTCAGTCGACAAACTGCACGGTACATGCACTTATCTTAATTGACCTGCACATACGACATACATTTGTATATATATATATAAATACTCGTAGTTCATTAATGAACTCTGAACTATTTTCGTTTACAAATTGCATAGCGATGGAGTTTTTAATGCTTTTAACAGTGCCAGTTTTGAAGTGTACGGGTCATTTGTTAAATTGCCCAATGAGTGTGGTCATCTTTTGACCATATGAAACAGATGCGTAACATTAAACAAATGACTGAAGTCTAATCCGGATTCAATGAATTATATCAAATGTGCATACTAGAAAAAAATATGATGGATAAAAGCTGCTAAAACGATAAATGCTAGCCAGCTAACAAGTCAATCTCAGAATGCTAATTCCACTGCAATACTGAATTACGCAAAGAAAGTAAACTAAAAATACCGATGAATGTAAAATAAAATAGGGTCATTTGATCCCAAATTTGCCATGTTAATTCCAGGTAACACCCATTGCATGTACACGTTCTCCAATTATTCTTACATTTTTATCAGCTGTTTCCTATTAAATTAGCAATTTCACACTTCTGCTGTGTTTAACTATGTGCCAAATGTACAGGTATACTTTCTTTTTACCAATGCATTAAGAACGGTCAACGGCTTTTAAAGTTATGTTTTTCTCTATGCACATAATGCAAAGTCATATAATGGCCACCAATCCAATATTTAACCTTGCGTGTGTTTTATCTTTGCTGAAGGTCCAAACATCTATTCAAAGTTGTGTCTTCGTTACTTTTTGTAACATTAAAAATACATTTGAGAATGACATTCATCTTTGTACAAAATGCAGACTTAGGTAGTCTGTTTTTCATGAAAATCTGAGCTTTTCGAATATCTGGTATGACTAAGACTCTTTACTTTTCTACTGGCAGAGAAATCAAAATTTCCAAACAAATATCAAATTTTCTTTAAAAAATTTGATGACAATTCTTGAAAATTGGACTTGAGGACACGAACGCCGACTGAAAGTCACTCGCGCCAGTGTGAATAAAACAACAACAACAACAAACAACAACAAATTTTATTGAAAATTGGAAAATAACTAATTACATTACTACACATGTGTTTACGTCCATGAGGTCAGGTTGCCAAAGCCAGAACGCCACTTTTCAAGTTCAAGGTTACTCGAAAGTTCATGTCTGGGTACGAATTATTTGGTAAGGTCCGATATTTTGGCTACAGAAAATTGATGGCCTAAAACCAAGGAAAATTCTTGTTCATAGTCTGCAGTCTGCATTTTGTATTGACCAAATTAATAGCAGTTGAGTTTAAATATGAAATGTTTTTTTAGCCTTTATGGCTCTTTTCCCGTCGCAGGTGGTTGACTTAAATATGTCCTTATAGACAAAGCTAGACTCAGGCACAGTGACCCACCCACGATGGTTACTAGATGTGACCTGATGAAGCGAGGGTTGTGATTCTGATGTAGAAGGAGGGGTGGATGAATGACCTGTAGATGACAAAGGTGCTGAATGAAATGATTTTGGTGAGGCAGATGGGATAGGTGAATCTACTGCTGTGGATGCTAAAACTATTGATGGAGAGGATGGTGGTGAGGTAGAAGACCATGGGATTGGTGAATGTGCTGTTAGTACTGTTGCCGATGCTGATGATGTTGATAAAGAGGTAGATGTGATGGGTGAATGTGCTAATGTTGCAGATGTTTTTTGTGAGGCAGATGGGATGGAATGTGATTTCGTACTTTTATATTTTTTAGTTTTACTTTTACTGACGTCTTTACTGGTAGTCGTACAGGTGGTAGTTGTTTTCCATGAGAGAGCCTTTCTTTTTTCCACAAAAATTCTGGTCCCACCTGCAAAAAATTATAGCACACATTGCTCATTCACTGGTATGCATATGTTGACTAGATGCTAACCTTCAGCTCATGAAATTTAGTTTTCCCATCTGCTGTTGCTTCTGGGAGGCTGACCTCTCCAAGGCAAGTGTTCAGGTATTTTGATTTTAACAATACTCTGGAAAACATTTCTATCATAGCAAAAAAAAGAAGAACTATTCATTAATATAAACCTGAACTGGTCTTACAATTATGTGTGAACTGGAGCACTCTGGTGGCCTGAATTTATGGAGTTTAAAGAATTACAGACAAACCTCAATGCATGGCCACCTCTCCACTGCAGCGGCCACTGCCAGTATCCTTTCCCCACAAAATTGGAATCATTATTACACCCCCTACCTCCCCATAACTGCCACTTAATTATCTCCGTCCCCAAGGAAGCCTTCCCCAAGAAAGGTTCAACTGTATTATAAAGGACCGGTAAGAGGAATTGTTCAGTGTAAGCGGAGGTATTGCAAAGAGTTGTTACTGAAGACAACGTATAATTTTTTCTCATGCTTTGAGACAACAAATCAGGGCTTCTGATATGTCGCGGGGAAAAAAAGTCAAATTTCGCGGGATTTTTTGGGACAAATTCACCGAAACATCGGCCGATTAAGCTAGAATTTCGCGGGAAATTTCAGGGCAAACTTCGCCAAAAAGCAATCGGTTAAAACCGGCCGATTTTGTAGTTGTTTTGAAGGCAAATTTCGCTGGAAATTGATTGGTTTTGCGCTGATCAGGCCAGTGTTTTTAACGTTTTTTTAACAGAGGTTATCATTTGCTCTTTCAACAACAACACGCTCAAGAAATGAGCCAATGGCAAAGCCTTTTACATCTTGGCTAGTGCCTAGTTTTTCGCAATGTAATCATGCCTGGTAGTTTCGGGACGTTTTCACGTTGCAGTGACGAAGTTTCAAGATAAATTTGCAAGTTTAAAGCAAGTAAATAGTATGGTGGCCCATAATAATAATAATAATAATAATAATAATAATATAATTCATTTATATAGTGCTATTAATACTAGTTATTCATAGCGCTTTACAATTTTAAACCTTATACTAACTATAAAATAGATTTTACAATTTCGTCCTACTATACTAAATTCTACAATTAAATATAATTAACAAATAATTACTGATTACATCTTACACACTACCAAAAAAAAAAGGAAACAAAAGAAAATACATAATAGTATGCAAAATAATAAAGCAAGTGCCCATCTAAACATTACAGAAACGCGCCCATTGAAAAACGTCGCCCGTGAAAAGTGGGGTACCCATTAGGCTTTGCGAGCAAAAACGAAGTTTCAAAGACTACCGTCGTTTTCGGTCTCTTATGAACTTCATAGCGGTTAACTATTCTCACACTTTCAAGAGACAATGCAGAAACAATAGAAGTAGGTTGCCATTGTTTTAAGTGTTGGAATGTCTTTGTCATTGCTACAAAGAAGAAAATGTTTATGCAAAGAGAAGCATTTTTCTTCCTCGTGCACTAACATAAAACCGTCGCGAATTCGGTAGTCTCGTGCGAATCGTTTTGATGGCAAAACAGTTAAAGCTAGTCAGAAACCAAAGTATTCTTCACTTAAAAACTCATCTTCACGGAAATCACTCGATAAGATTGAATAAAAATGTTTGCAGCGTTTATAAATATTATTATCAGAAGCGGTATTGTAGTTGTTTTCAAGAGACGGATTAGATCACTGTTTAGGTTTGGCCGTTAAATATGTAGTTATAGCGTTCTTAAAGAAAGTATCGCTCTTAATTTTGCCTTATACTTTGCTAAAATCAATACCTTAAATGAAGAATGTAAGTGAGAGTGCTTTTTCGTCGAATTTGCCCGTAAATTTTAAGGTTTATAATATTATCCAAAACCTGTGACAAAATGTAAACAAACTATATATTAACGCATCGGTTGCGCTCATATTTCATCGATCGATTCGAACACCAAGAAGTTTGTAAAAGGTAGAAATTCATTTTAAGTCAGTGCATTGAATTATTTGCGGGAAAATCAACAACAATCATCGAGGATTTTTCAATTTTGAAGCGTTTAACAGCAAAAAGTCACATGCTAATTCGGAGTAAATTTAGACAGTTTTTAAACAGACTGAGCTATTGTTAGTCGCGTGAAGTTCTATTCTTCATCGAAGAATAGGCAAATGTTACGGATGTCTGAGCAGGAACACTAACCAGGAAAGGGATATACCCAGGGGATTTCTTGATTGACACTAAAGTAACGTCATTTTTCACTTATTTGCATTTTCACGATCGACGTTTTTGAATGGGCGCGTTTCTGTAATGAGATAGGCCATTTTAAAAAGCATTGTCTTCCGTCCTGATTGCTTGTATATTTGACGACATGCGCAACTGAAAAAGCAGGTCATTCCATAGCTTAGGAGTGCATACAGTAAATGCTCTATCGCCATAGGTAACAGTTCTAGATTTAAGAACACTAAGCAGATATTGAGACTGAGATCTAAGATTGTGGGTATATTTAGGCTTATGAAGTAGCTCAGACATGTATTCAGGAGATAAATCATTAAGTGCGTTGTAAGTCAGCAGTAGCACTTTAAACCTTATACGATAGGAAACAGGGAGCCAATGTAGTCTAACTAGAACAGGAGTTATATGATCATATTTACAAGTAAAAGTTATAATGCGAGCCGCAGTATTTAATACTGACTGAAGTCTGTCTATTTGGTATTTTGGAAGTTCAATAAGTAAAGCATTACAATAGTCCAGCTTTGATGAAACAAATGCATGGACTAACGTCTCAGTAGAATTTTCATCTAGATATTTTCTGATCTTGCTAATATTTCTAAGATGGTAATGAGATGATTTG